TTCTTCAGGACATGAAACATTTTTCTACCTCTGTTATAGCCTGGATTGAAGCCCCATATTTCACCAGGAGTTCCATGACTTTGATGCGATTTTTCTTGCAGGCAATGTGCAGTGGAGTAAAACCATTCTGTGCAAAAGACAGTCATGTTAGTTAAAAACATGCAGCTACACCTTCCACACAGCTCCATGCTGGCACGCTGGGAGCACAAGTGTTAGAGTACCAGAAGCAACTGTTCTTTAAGCACAACAGGTTATGAACTACAGACATCTCCCAGCAGTCTGAGGCAGAACAAAGCAGCGCCGCTGCTTTCTTCTCAGGCAATGGAGAGAAACCGAACTTCCACCTCCAAAACCCAAATACAGACATGCCCGTCCTGACTTCCACGTGTACGCGTGCGCGCATGTCTGTATGTGGTTCCGAAGGTTGCACACATGTATACGTAAGGATGACTTAAAGTGGTTCCCAAGATTGCCTAACACAAGGAAAATACAAGAAATGATAGTGATCACTTTGAAATCAGTTAGTGTTTTTGAAATGTATAAAGCATATTCTGTACCTCTCTAGGAAAAGAACAGAGTTCTTCCAGATTCCACCTTGTTTTGTCTTTTTAGAGTATCTTGTAATCTAAGCATCTATGTCTATTTATTTTTATACTCATGCATCAATCTGCAGTATGCTGTATTCGTGTCTGTGTGTGTGCGCGCGCGTTCTGTGAGGTATCTTAAGTAAACAATCACTACTTCAGCCGTGGTTTCGCGATACGACGTGTTCACTCTTGAAGCATTTGCGGCCCCCCCCCCTCCTTTATTCCTGCCCGGCTGAGTCATAAAGCATTGTAAGCCAGGTATCAGCCCTCATCTGGATTAAAATTAAGTGGGGCAGGGACAGGAATGAAAGGCGGGTGGGGAAGGGAACATCTTAAATGGAGATGGCCACCTAGTATTTTGTATTGTGAGACAAGAGTTTTAGTGTTGTGCTTACCATCAGCACGTGTTCATTTCTCGGAAAACGCTTATTCAGTAAGATTGGGGCCCAAATCAAAGCATGTCTTCATACTCTATACTGTAATACATGCTTCGACTTCAAGCTTTTTTTACGTACTGTTATAGTTAACGCAGGCTAAGTGTGTGCCTAAAGCTAAGCAAACACATTATTCACTGGAGGTGAACATTTTAGTGCAAAGCACAGGTAACATTTTTAGATAACGCTGGAAAATTGCTATATTTTCTAATGAAAAGGATCAGTGTTGCTAAACAATCAACTAGCAGTAAACAGACCTTATCAGTGAAATCTTAGCTCATGGAAAGAGGCATGTGACAGATTATTCTACAGTCAGCTTCTGTTAAGGGAAATGTTAATTACTAGTTGATCTGAAGGTGCTTTAAAGCATATACAAATTGAAAAAGCTAAGAACCCATAGAGTGCTTGTATCCCCAAATCGTTTTGCAAACATTAACAATTAGTGTTTTTAAATCTCGCTGAAAATGAGTTATTTCTAAAATGTATTCCATCACAGGACTCTGCTGAATATTATTACTATTAGCCCTCTCCAATTTCTAAAGAAGGACTCAAAACCGTTAGAGATTTTACCTCCCGCTCAACATCGCCCAATATATTTCATAGGGAGTTTTACTGTTTCAGAAGTTTCCATATTTTCACTTAATTTTACTGCCTGAGTTGATTTAATTTTGCTGCTTCTATTTAAGCGAGGAACAGTTTGATGGGGGAGAGGAGAAGGCAGAAAAAACGTGCCACTAACAGAAACTACGAGCATCATTTAATGTTTTAAATACTGTAAACAAGCCAGAGGCGACAAGTCCCTGATGGGAGAGGAAACGAGAGAGGGGAGGAAAAACCAGTCTGGAGGGGAGAGAGCGGAGAGGCAGAGGCCTGAGGGTGTTCTCCTTTCATTTCAGATGCTTCTCCGGGAGGGAGGGAGGGACGGGGAGGAGCAGAAGGTATATTTCTGGTCATGGAAGGAAAGAAAGAAGATGTGGGGGCTAGCATATAACGTGTATGTGTGGGTAGCTGAGGAAAGTACAGCTACAGGAAAGTACAATCAGAAGACTGGCAAGAAAAACAAGAAAGGATGAAAACAGCATCGAAAAAGATCAACCAAGTGAACGTGATACCGGGAAAGACAAAACAAGGAAAGCGTAAGAAGAGGAAGCAAGAGGGGTTACGGGCTTTGGGGGTGTAGAGAGGCCAAGAAAAATGAGAGGGCAGAAGAAAACTGCGTCAATAATAGTCAGTTCCAAGGAAGTAAGGGATAGGGGGAGCCTTCACAGGAAAACGCAGGGTCGTATTAAAGGCAAGAAGCTGGGGAAGACATCAGAGTGGCCTGCGGTGGAAGTTCTCTGGAGGCACTGAATGCAGCAGGCAGCGGCAGACTTCTGGCCATGCAGAAGCATCTCAGGTGTTCACAGCCTCTTTCTTTCCCCCACTGAGTGTAATATGTTGGTATTTTGACTTCCAGCCAGCTAACAGTTCATGGGGACGCTTCCTATTAGAGAAAATTGGAATCTTGTCTGGGTTTGGATAGATGAAAGACTCTTGAAAGCTTTATATGTTCCCGAGGCCAAATGTGATGTTTTTCTCTCAGTTAGGGGATAATGGGCTGACCAGTGAGTGAAAGGAATCATACCTGTTTTCCTGTAAGCATCAGAAGAACTGTTTTTTGAAAAGGAAGAGGAGTGGCACCTAATAGAGGGGAACGTCATAATTTGATAAATGCAGAAATATTAGCTTTTTAATATATTTTCTCCATGCCAATTAACTTACTGATTCAGTTGAAAGCTCAGAAATTGTGTTATCATATCACATAGTATGGAAGACTGAACTATTAATTCAGTAAAATACCAGCGCATACGTTAGCATCAGCTAGAAATGGCTCTGATTTTGGGAACTCTGCAGAGCTTCCAGACCTGATACTACAGCCACTTGCCACGGGACGTGGCCCACGACTAGGCCTACTGATACGACACACAATACTGGTAACCAGCAGGCGTGACAACCCCTGTTGTTACTGCAACTGTTTAAGGTTGTTGGAGTTTGTTGACGGAGTTTTCACTTGGCTGTACTGGTAAGAGCTACTCATCTGCCCTGGATAGCTTTGTTACACGACACGGGTGGGACAGGTTTACCAGGGCGCGAGCATTGGGATTTGCTCTCTTGTCCAGAAGGAGTTTGGTGACACGATAGTGGCCGCAGTGCGCAGCCACGTGGAGGGCGGTCAGGTAATCCAGCGTGACATCATCCACGGGGGCTTTGTGCTGCAGCAGGTGCTTGACGCATTCCACGTGGTCCCCCTGGGCCGCCATGTGAAGCGGAGAGAGTCCATTCTGTGGCAAAAGAGAACAGAACAGTAACTCCCAGAAACCCTCACTTAGATCGTGGCACGTATTAGAAGGATGCCGTCATGAGTTTGCGGAGTACCCCCGTCACTGAAAGAGAGCCGCATCTGAGCTACGGGCTGGAAGAAAAAACGAAAAAAGCTATAGCCACCCCTCCCCTTCCAGAAAATACAGGCAAATTTAGAGGAACATCATATAATTAACTAAAATCAGAATTTAATCAAAGCAAAAGAATCTAAGGGTTTTGCCTCATGATTTAATAAAACATATCTTGACCTTAAAAGAAAGTTCTGGGGATACGCATCGTAACACTAAGACATAGGTTGTATGTTAGTTAGAGGAAAAGCACCTACTTACCCATCAGCGTATTTATTAAGGAACCTATCTTTTTTTCTTCAAGTGTTTAATGAAAAAACAAATTATATTGGCAAACCTGACCCCTGAGCTTCTGGGAAATGACACTTTCAACCACCACCATGGTTGGAGCGTTTGTTCAAACCATAATACTTGAAGGGCAGTGGAAGCAGGAGTTTTAGAGCCCTGTCTGGCTTTAATAGATCTTTTTGTAAATACTGAAGTCCATGGAAGGTAGACAATTAAGAGGAGAGAGAATTGTTGCTATTAATATGTATAACAAGTTGTTTTCAGAAGAAAATAGTTTTAATATTTACGTATTTGTCTGTCTCCAGTTTGGAACCACCTGCTTCGGTTGGAAGTTAGAAGAGGAAGTTGCTCTTTCATCTAATTTCACGTTACATGCAATAAGGTACTGAAAAAGCACTGCGTGTTTAAAGGCAGACTATAACATACAGACTTGAACAGGTAACTGACTTGGTGCGATCAAACTGACTGTTTATTTGTCACCTGGAAGGAGGGAATTATTCACTGGACAGTTCTGCTCTGCTCAATCCTCAACACCGTGGGGAGGTCCAGATGCTGCCACAGCAACGCTGATATTCTGTCCTGACTGCCAACATCTGCCTTTGAATGGCAACATCTGGGAATCCTGCCTGAAGCGTGCACAGTGGTGGCAGGGTCTGTTCTTCTGAGCCTTTCTGCCTCTTAGTGAAGTGAGGGTGTTGACACATGAGGTTCACCCAACCGCCTTCTCCCACCAAAAGGAATCGGGGAAACTATAAGGAATCTTTTCCCCCCCAATTCCCATCTCCCTGTGGATCCCTCCTGCATAAACAGATGACCTGGACTACTTGGTGCTATCAAGGATGCACAGCTTGAGCACATCCTTATTTCATGTAGTTGATATGCTCGCAACCCAGCGATAGAACCTCCTGAAGACTATCAAAAGAAAATCTTGAGTCTCCAACAAGGATAACTATGGGTCAGAATACACTAATTGCCCTCGTTTTGAGCCATGTTTGCGGGAGCGGGGCCCAGTAAACAGCGCAATGGTCTGAAACTGGTATTTAAATTGTTCGTCCCTCCTGATCTTCCAGGGGACCTTCAGCATATCATTGCAATACTCTATCCCACTGTTCTCCAACTAATCATACCAGCTGCCTTTGTCAGGCGCTCTGAAATTTACTGATGTGAAGTGCTGCTCAGAGGGGTTTGCTACTATACTACAAGTATCTTTCTCAGTAGTTTGACCAACGGGACAGCATTTGTACGAAATGCATTTATCTTCGATGGGCGCTTTTCAGAAATCAGTAAGAACACACTGAAATCATCTTCCATGTCTGAAATAGTCCGTGAAAACAATTCGGAGAAACTGCAAATCACAGGTCCTAGTTAGCTTATATGAGGGATCGGAAAATACATACCAGGAATGGTCTCTCAGGAGTGACTGACCCAGCTTTCCCATCTCTGTGTCCTACAGTCTTAGGAAGCAACAAAAGTGAAGTGCTCGCAGTAGCACTGCCTATCATGTGTTCAGTCTGATATTATAGAGAGGGGCACAGAAGTGTATACCGTTTCGTATATTTGGAAAGGATAGTCCCTAATTATGTAAGAAAACCTTATTTTGGATCATTCTACCTATTAATACATTTCCTTTGGGAGAACAGAAATGTTCCTGTCTTCTTCCTTGTCCTTTCAGTGACATTGAAAAGTCTGTGGAAAGTTACATAGAGCTGTTAACAGATTCTAATAAGACACACACCTTGGTCCGTGCAAGCAGTGGGGCACCTCGTTCCAGGAGCAGCTCCACAACTTGGTCGTGTCCACTTCTTGCAGCACAGTGGAGTGGGGTGAGTCCATCCTTAAAGTCAAAGGAGGGAAAACAAATGAGCACGTCCCCACTGTCCGTCCTGGCACTCTGAGGAACACCCTTCCAGGAATGCAGCCCCACAAGCGTGTGAAAAAGCTCCTTTTTTTTCACTCCTAACGGAAGGTGGCTCCACAACATGAAGCTTCATCCCTGTTCTTCCTTGCACCAGTAAAGGACACCCTAAGGTTACCGTTTCAGAGAGGAAACCCATTGTGTGTTGAAATCTCTTATCAAAGAGGATAATGTGAGCATGCATGGCCTCCTCCCCTCCTTCTTCTCTGCACGGCTTTGAGATTGTATTGCCGCTCCCTGGATAACGTGTGCTGGGCCAAGGATGCTCCATTAATCAACTCTTGTTCTTTGGATTGCTTTTGACGCGGGAATGAAACAAGAAATGTTCATACTAGAAAATTTACTCTAGAATTTATTTGTTTTTTTTTTTTAAACAGGCAGCTGGAGAAAGATGATTTTAAAACAGAGAAAAAGAGAAAGAAAGAAACAAACAGAACAAAGCCTTTCATTTCTGAGATCGAGTGGTGAACAAAGAGCTAATGATTCTTTGCTAAAATTGCTGTGAGACCACCAACTCTGCAATATTTTTTCCGTTGCAGAAACCACCCTATGCCAAAAGACTTGCTGAGGCTCCTCAGTAATGACCACAGCAGTGGTGGCAAAAGACGTGTCAATGAAACATTTAGACAGGAGAATGCATTCTAGGTAATTCTACTACAGTTTGGACTTTATACAGAAAAATACAGGAGATACGAGGCAAGAAAAATGGTTGCAAAAGAATTTTAGTGCTGAATGACAGAAAATAGAAAATGCGTAAGATACAGAAACCCAAGTTTTCATCTCATTAGACCTCGATATTGCTCAAGCATGCGCTCGGCGAGGTCATCAATACTCATTCAGTATAGGTTTATAAAGGCGAAATGGTAATAGTTTTTAATCACAAGAAAAACCTTCTCCCTTTGAGACACGCTGCTCACCTTAGATGAGGTAGATGCTATTATTCTAGGGTGCTTTCTCAAGAATCCAGTAACAGCATGATTAAAAGATGAATATACTGGTCTGAGATAGATTTACCACTTAGAGGTTAAAAAAAGGCGCAAAAATGCAAAAACACGGCCTTAAGTATGAGGTAGTGGCCCTGCTTCATAGACAGATACACTGTTTGCCCTGCTGGAATTTGGAGGAAGCCTACATCGCTATATTTTTACTTCTACTACTAACATTTTAAAATTAAAAGCAGCTCCAGACTGCAGAGTGCCATTGCAATCGCAACATCATTTTGGCTGTGCAAACATAGCCCTGTAATACTCGACAAAAGGTAGTTCCAAGAAGTAGATCCTCCCTCATCCTCAGTTTCGAAAGCACAGAGTCAGCTCCACCGCGGTGAGGAACTGAAGTCTGCAGGGAGGAATTTTCCTCCCTTACTTATCTACTGTTTCCAGAGATCTTTCAGGAACACGTGAAGGGGTTAGGCGTGCCTTGACGCTCACGATCTCAGAGGCATCACTAAATCCCATGGAAGCTTTGCAGTGAAATTCAACAGATGCAAGATCAAACCCGCAAACAGAATTCGAGGCTGTTCAGCACCTGGCAGATTGGGTCAATGTAAAGGAATTGGGTTTAACTGGCTTCTCCGGGTTTTTTTTTCTGCGCTGAAACTTCAGAGTCCCCTAAATCAAGTCTTTATACGCACAACTGAGGCATATTTTCATCTCGCTGCCAGAGGGATTCATACACATAATTCCCATTAGCGTTACTAAGGTGAGAATATATCCTAAACGTATTTCTAGGAAAGGTATTTATTTGGTAGTTCTTTCCAGTTTCTGGCCTTTTGTGCTCTACATTTTTAATCAATGTGGGAGGTTCACTTTCCCTATCTGCATAGTGACTTTGATGTTATTCTATTTAATAGAACAGCAAAAGAAAGGCAGAATTGTGTGAATCCTTGAAAAAAACAGGACAAATCTCCAGAGGGAGAAAAAAGAAGAAAAATACAAGCTAAGCAACCCATCAACTCCACAAGAAAGTCTACCTAAAACAAAAATAAGAACTAAATCATTAAAAAGCACGATTTCTCCTCTGCTCTTATCTATAATTCCCTCTAAAAGAAGAGATAAAAATTTGCTGCCTATCCTATTCTATCCTGTCGTGGCTTTGATAAGTGCCTCATCATTTACTATCTGTGTACTTTCCAGTAAGTGAATGAAGCAATATGCTTTGCAGCCTTCCCATATAACCCTCTTCTCTTCCCTCTTTCTGCCCTGGGGAAAAAAGCATGTATATTTTAAAATCATTGTATATTTAATACTTTAGATTCTATTTTTGCTTATATGCTTTCTTCAAAGATGAGGGAGATTGCAAAGGGAGAGCTGTTGTAGTAGAAGAATTAGTACACAATACAATGAGGACAAACTGACATTAGCCAACATCAAGAGACACACTGGTGTACCAAATTAGTCCTCTTTTGCACCATTATCTATTTGCAGTGAACCTCAGTGCTCTGAAATCCATTGCAGGGGTTTGTCTACGTACTTTCTTAATCATTCCACTGCTAATTGGTACACCACGTGAATTGAAGAAGACATGCTGACCAAAAATGTCCATTTGACGGGACACACAACACCGGGTCGAAGAGACACAGACTTTGAAGCACAGATAATGGATATCCCGTAAACACAAAGGCCGCCATGCCGGGAGACAAGAAATCCAGCAATTTTATATTTTAAGAAGTCCAGTATTTACCTCCTCATCCCAAACAGTACATAATGGAGAGTCAAATGTTTTCATCTTCCAAGTGACATCCTGCACCTGGTGTTCTGTTGTTCCCGTATGTGGCACGCTCCTAGCTCACGCTTTGCAATGTAACCAACAGCTGGGTCACTGTCAGAAATGACACTACAATCCTCTCTGTACGTATGGAAGCCATGCAATTCCATCACTCCTAATTTCCTCTTAAATGGATCTCAAAATAGAATGCAAACTTTCGCCTTTCTTTCTTGAAAATCCATCGCTGGTCATTTTTTAACCTGCAACATTAATTCTGAATTCTGTGCATGACTCCTAACTGCGGGGCTCAGGAAGATAAATTATTGGGTCATTTCACAGTGATTAAAATGCTTTACTTCAGCTTACCAGAGAGACCGAGAGAAAAAGAAGCTGTGCTTACGAGAGATTCTTAACGGGAATTGATACGGGCAGCATCTTAACAGAAGGGCAGTTGCGCACATTCAGTGCTCATTCGAACGAAGACTGACGATGGCACGTGAACATCAAAGGCCAAATTATCAAAGAATTCTTCTGAACTGCAGCTGCCTATTCTCAGTTTCATAAAGGTGAAATAAAATTTTAGTATTCTGTATGTTAGACGTGCAAAATTGTCTAAATTTTCTCGGCAAATAAAGGCCTTTTCATGTGTTCATTTGCCATTACTACTAAACCTCATCCCTTTAAAAATGAACAAGGCAAGCCTCCCTCTCGCTCTAAGCTCTTGGAGTCCTGGCATAATTAAACACGCTCTGAAGTATTCCTCCAGGTCTGCCATTCAAAGTACAAATTTTAAAAATACAGCAAAAAATATACCATGCGTTTGCTTGAGTAATAAGGTGTTGACTTAAATAATTCTAAGTAACGGTCACTATCTACATAGCTTGCTTAGCTAATCTGTACAACATCCCTTCCCGCTCCCTTGTAAACATTATATGAATCCACTACATTTTTTATAGCAAATATCTGCATTGTGATTAGATATTTTTCATATATCTATATTAATATGCTGTAAACATAGCACAGGGCCAAGACAAGCTTAGGATCCTGCTGCAATGGCTTTAAGGTAGGAAACCCACTACCAGGTGGCAATAGCAGAGCGCCGTGCCTCTTCCGTCAGGATGCACGTATACAAAAGGAGACATTATTACAAATAAATCTCAGTAGGTTCCCAGAACGAGTGTTAAGGGGTGTCTGAAGCACACCGACCACAAAAAACCCAACGCAAACCAAACCAAACCAAACCAAAATCAAAGTTCCACCCCCCCCCAGCTTCCTTCCTTTCCTTTTCCCATTGGTATCGTCCATCTCTGTGACCGACCTTCCACTTCTTTCACCTCCAGCTGAGCCTCCTTTCTTTTCTGTGGCCCTCCTCCAACCCAAATGGCATACCAGACTTTCTCCCCACCATTATCACGTCTACTCCCCTCCTCTGCTCCAGCTGCCACGCTCCAGGCACACAACATGTTTACTTTCCCACACAATAAGCTTTCCATTCCAAGACTAGATGCTCTGTTTCATTCCAGGGATTTTTTTCAACGGTAAATACTCTGGACAAGAGCCTGCAAGAGGAGTCTAAAGAAAAGCCCCAGAGCAAGAAAAAATTAATTTCAATGTTGGCAAGATTCAACAGGAAGAACACAAAATGTGTGACAACTTCAGCATCTGAGACAGGTGATGAACGTGTTCCTCCCCCGCTTCTAAGGGTGTTTGCACACAGTCCCACAAAAATAGAAATACCAGTAAGGTGACAAAGGCCTGTGAATAACACTCTATTTTAAAAGTAAAAAAGCATACAAAAACTAAAAAAGTCTCACATTCTCGTTCTTTTTTTTCCCTATACAATTTATATAGAGAGATGATAAACACAGAGATATTGCAAAAACTGCATTCATAAAGAATCCTCCTAAACCCCTTTAACAGTCAGTAACATTTCAATGTCCCGCATATCCTTACTGTTACTATTCCATTATATTAGAATACTTTTTTTTTAATAGGAATCTATATATTTTGGGCATGCTGAAATTGCTCTGCTTTTAAATGCTTAAAATAATTCTCCCTGTAATAATCCTTACTACGTTTCAGGAAGGCTGTAAATGCTTTCCTTCTCTCAAAGTGAGATCTGATAATTGCCATGTTACTCTTGACCACATGACATCGATTTAATCCTAACTTGAACTTTCTGCCATCTTCTAGAGAACAAGTTTCCGCACGCTGATTGCTAGCCACAGTCTGCACAATTGCTTCTGAAACCCAGCTCCACTGGTCTACCATCGTAAGTTGTACAGGCCAGAAGTTTAGCTAAATTTTAAAATTTTAAACAAACATATGTCATCGAAGTTCTTATTCAGGTAAACTTGTAGAGAATATAGGTTTGCCTAAGATTTTAAATATGAAATCTTTTAGCATAAGAAATTTTACGCGTTAATTACTTAGCAAACGGAACTCCAGATAAGGCCCATATGTAAACAGAAGTAGCGCAAACGTAGATATAACAGACAGTGCTAACCAAAGTATCCTATTAATATCATTGGGAATGGAGTTTACATTTTTGCTTTAGATACAATCTAAAAGAGAAGTGAAATTCCACATTTTAAAAATTTACTTAGTAGTTCGTTGAGAAAAATCATTAAAACTTGCTAAAAAAATTTAAGTAAAATATTATTTTAAAATACCTAAGTGCAGCAAGCAGATTTACTAGCAATTCTACATCTTTATACTCTAGTGAGAAACGCCATAAAATTTCAGCAAGTACATTATGAAATGTATAGAAAATAAAAATATGTAATTCCTGCAGGAAGCGGGGCTTTCCTCTGACATGCAACATTAACCATGGAACAGTAGGACACATGCATAATTTACTCCCTTTGAAGAACGTACATTTTAATTTATTTTTTTTAGACAATACAGGGGCTCCTAATGGATCATTCCAATGGAACATTTTCAAACATAAAAAGATTTCACAGATTAACTCTGCAAAATTAAAGTACTGAGCCTCATCTGAAATCTGTTACAATAACTTTTTGCTCCTTAATTTATGCATCATCAGATGTCATGGAATAAAGCAAGTTAAAAATAAACTGAATGAAAGCCGTGAGTCCTTTTTTAACCCAAGAGCTTATTTGGATGCGGTATGGAGACCAAGAATAAAAGCCCAAGCTATCGGGCAATGAAATATCCTAGTACATTTAATTCCACTGTTTTTCAGTGAATCTGACCTACTGGAAGAACGCAGGTGGAAAGGCGGGTATGGCAAGGCAAGCACGTTAGTACCGGGGTGGAGGAGGCAGAAGTCTGTCCTTTAAAGTACAGAACACACGTATGCACGGCATGCAGCGCGCAGCCTACCTCTTCAACACCCTACATACTCACGGCCGTCGCAAAGCACACAAGGCATGCGGACAAAGCAAAGGGAAAAGAAAAAGACGCCGAGATGCTATAAACAGCTGGCACGAAGACAAGACCACGCCACAGAGAGACTGACAGCAAAACCAAAGCTCTGGAATCTTCCCCACTGTGAAGTACAGGCAGCCGACCGCCACCGTGTGCCTTTGAGCAGGGAGAAGGCAGAAGATGGGAGCAGAAGGAAGCTGCTGAGCCTCTGCACACTGGGATACGTGTGCTTTAGGACACCTTTACGGGTTTTCACCGATATCTTTGTGCTGACAGCTTCTGAGCTGATGTAGCAGCTGACAAAGGCCAGGAAGCCAAGACGATGAGAAGACTCTAAAATTAGCACCTTCCACCTACATTGGGCAAAGTCCTGTTCTTTCGGTTTCATTCACAACTGCACATCAATCTTTGCGGGTGAGCGGGGAAGGGAATACACCTTGACCTCCTAAAATCCAAGACGTCCTTTACAACCATCTGTGCCAACTTGTCTAAAACGAGTATCTAAATACTGTACAGGAAATAGGTGAATTCAATACTGTCATTCCACAGGCCAAACGGACCATTTCTGTGTGACTGCTGCGCTTATGAGTATGTGGAATATCCTGGCTGCAGCGTATTATTACCATTTCATGCCTCTTTACCGTGAGATTTTAGGGACTTGTCGAAAATTTGACTGGGGATGATTTACTGCACACCTTTATGAGAGGCAGCATTTTCCATCATCAGTAGTTTAAAAAAAAAAAAAGGAGAGCAAGAAAGACATCATTTCATAAATAATCAGAAATCAAAATCATAATCACATACAGATACGATAATCACGACTGTCTTCCTAGCTTACGAAGCAACAAATGGTTGATGTAATTAATATCAAAGTAACTGCAGAGGTTGAATCAACCACAAGGGCAGTTGGCTGCAATATCCTCTACCTTCCTACCTTATTAAACAAAAACTCTTATGTCCAGCTCTCAACTCTGTGTTCTAAAACGTCCTCTGTTACTTGGAGATATAATTTTGCAGATCAGCGCTCAAAAACCAATAGCTTTCAAGAATGAGTCCTGTGCAGTTCAGCTCGCATAAACGACCGCGTTTTCCTAGGTGACTCCAAAATCCCATTTGAAATAATTAGCCCTGCCCATACGAATTGACGGGGTTTTCTTTTGTCCTGAATGACTGCAAAATCACCCATAAATAACGAGCACAGTATTGGTGCGGCATTTCAGCGGGACAACTGGGAGGAGGAAGCCAGTGAGAGTCACCTAATTCTCTGAGGTTAGTCTGGGGAAGAGGCGAGTGGCTGCTGGCACAGAGTAGGTTACTTGGTCCCAGTAATGACTCTTCAATAAAAAGCGACCGCCAGCCCACTTACAGCGGTTTTCATGAGGCGTACCGTGACTGGCACCGACGTTTAGGAGTCAGGGGACTGAAAGGCTTAGCTGAGTCCAGACCCTCCACTTCCCATTGCTGTGCAGCACGCGTGTTCTTGTGTCGCGTGAAGCTGGACCAACTAGCAGGCTTATTTCCTCAAAAAGATCAGTTTCATCAGCTTTTTCTGCTATGATGTAGGTAGATTATACAGGAGACTAAAGGAAAGATTATTTCTGCCTCCTACTATCACCAATACCTGCCATTCTTTAGTCTGATACCATAGAAAACAGTCTACATAAAACAAATAATCCGAAAACTAAAGGTAGGATTCTGAATTAAAAAAAAAAAAAAAAATTCTTTATAAATTATTCTTGGAGGCACAATTTCAATTTGGTCCAAGTTTCAAAAAGACTACCCTTGTGAGGAGGCAATGTTTAACATTTTTGGAGCTGTGTCCAGCTGAACTTTTTTTTTTTTTTTTTTGAGTCATTTATAACAGCTGCATCTAATGTCTCACTTTAGGAACAGAGAACAAGACACGATTACTGAAGCTGAATTCCTAGCTACGAATCTCGGTGTTCCCAGTCTCCGGCTTAAAAAAAAATAACAAAACCAAAAACAAGCAAGCAAAAAATCCCAATCCATTCCCAAGAAGGGACAACATCGTATTCGGGGAATAGAAAGACTCACCCTGGTTTTGGCATCGATCTGCCCTCCGCGATCCAACAAGAGCTTCACCATGTTTGTGTTTCCCCTTTTGGAAGCCACATGCAGTGGGGTGATTCCATTCTACACCATGAAAAGAACAAACAATGAGCATGATGGATTTGAAGGTGTAAAATGGCGTTCGGATCACAAAAAAAATGAGACCATCACATTGTAGAGAATAAACAAAAATGTACTTGAGCATCGGAGCTAGGCACACACCGTATAAGCTAGAGTTAGTAATTCCTTTCTAAGCAAGAATCTTTATTCACTGTTCGGGGTTTTTTAATAAACGAAGAAGCGCATCTGCCAAAGCAGCAAACGTCACAGTCCCAGAGTCGGACAAATAAACAAACACGTACCAGAGTCCCAATGAGTCAATATTCACAAAACACTGATGCATTTAAATCACTGCAACGTACACAGAGTACACAAATGCGTGACTCCTACACAAAGGAACCTTCTTAGTGTAGCGCCAATAGCGTAAAGGAGTAGGTCCTGTTTAGGCTGAAAGTCCTTGCAAACGCTTTGGGTGAGGGAAGAGGTAATATTAGCAGCTATTCCAGACTGGCAACAGGAGGAAGTCAGTCTGAAAGGCAGAACCCTAAAGTAATTCAAAGTGTGTCTGGCAAAATCAAGCAGAAAATTGTGCTCCAGTGGCTATGCTGAGGTACGGATTACCAGAGGTTTTCATGGCACCAGATGCCATGCTTCAAACTACGCAACGTACAACAGCAAAGAGACTATAGTATGTAGCTCTGCAGTTGTTTACCATAAAAGAGCAGTCACGATTAACTAGTACTTTTATTGTTGCATTTATAGAATGGCAATATACCTTACCTTATTTTTTCCAGATATGTTTGTATGTGAAAATATCAAATTAAAGCAGCAGAGTAAATACTGACTACTGAAAAAGCCAATAAATCCTACATGTATTTCTGGAGTATGTCTAACTGACAGGAAAGCTGAAGTGAGGTGACACATTATGAGAATATCAGCTTTCTGGAGCTAGTCGAAGGAGCCTGCTTCCTTCAGCAGGGAATACTGGTCGCTGCTCAACTCCCAAGGACTCTGGTGCATTGCACGGAGGCAACCTTTAAGAATTACCGCGACAAAAGACATCTTTGAACACAACGGAATTTCAGCATCACTTTGCTCCTCACTTACTCCTGACTAAGAATTAGACAAAGAAAGACTCCCACTTTCGCAGGCCGTTGCAACTAAGAAGAGAAAGAAATTCCTCCGTACCCTTGCTGTGAAATCGACTGCAGCTCCTCGGTTTAGCAGAAGCGTTGCCACGTTGACGTTTCCATAGTGCGCGGCTATGTGCAAAGGTGTAAAGCCACTCTACAAAGGGAAACAGCCCTTAGTATAGAAATCATTTTATACAAGGTAATCAACTTAACTAGAACTTGATTTTAAAAGCTGCTGGCAAACAAACGTATCGTGTCGATTTTATCCAGATCATCTATAATACAGCACAGTCTTTCAGGCAGAGAGTGCCATTTTCATATGAGAGGTTATCGGAAGTGCTTTGTTCTTTCGTTCTCCAATTCCGTGTTCTGAATCAGTGGCCAATAAGAAAAGTAGCTTTCCTCATATAAAATATTAATATATTAGCCATTCTTAAAGAAAATAAAGGAAGTTTCCTTCTTACAGTTCAGAAGCAACATGGGTCTTTTGGGCTGCATCTGTTTACTGGTTTTGGATGAACGACCACAAAAGTTGTTGGACTCTTATTTTACTGCTCATAGAATAAATATTGACAGCATGGTTCAATACTTGGGGGGTTGGACTAGATGATCTTTAGAGGTCCCTTCCAACCCAAACTATTCTATGATTCTATGTTTCCTTCTTTTTTTTTCCTTTTTTTTTTTTTTTTTGAAAAAGCAGTGGTAATTCAACACGTAACCCACAAATTTGGTGTACATGAGAAACTACTTAGTAGCATAGTACAAGAATCATAATTATTTATACTTATATACAATTTGAATATCAAAGGATCTGAAGAAACTTTGATACATCAGAAAAATCACAGTTTACTTATTGCCTCTTGAACACTAGAAGGTGAAACCTGCTCCAGCTACGAGATGTAGAATTGCTTGACAACAACATAAAAAAGATTAATTCTTTGGAAAGTAGGACACAGAGCAAGCTTTTAGTCTCACAAGTAATTCAGGTAGAAAGGACCTTGCTTTTGAGGTTTCCCTGAAGAGCTTTACACTGATTTGATCAGGTCTTACAGTTAGTTATGGAAAGAGAGAATACTTTTGGCTTCTAGACTACACTGTGTTTTCGACTAGGCTTCATTTCTTTCAGTGTACAAATCATCATTTTAGGCTACTCATGGAATATTGAAACGTAGGCAGATGTTGCACTCTGAAATCAACTTTATTCCCAAAAGATAAAGCAGCCGGCCCACTATTTTACCCTAATTCCATTTACTTCCTTGCCAGCCCACAGGTGATCCTGGTGAAAGTACAGTCACACACTCATTAAATTCACAGTCGTCCTGCCGTGATAAACGGCCAGGGAAATGTCTGCCGGGGGTATCAGGCACACAACTACGACACTGCGTTAAGCTACAGACTGAATGCGTACTGCATTAACGACTACCTTCTCGCGGACACACGTCTGCCGGGCGACAAACGAGAGCTAAGCCCCTTCACATCTACCACGGTGGAGGACGTGCCCGTGGGCAGCTGCCGGGGAGGAGCTGAACATCGCCGGCCGCCTCAGGGCAACTGGCCCCCGCGCGCGCGCACACCGGGTGTGACACGCTTTCACACGGGTGCGTCCGCTCAAAATTCACTCCCCCATCTAACAGAGAAACTCCGTTATTTAAAAGCCGGCATTCAAATAATGACCGCATTCTCGGAAAGAATTCTTTTTCCTAAACGTGACAATAATCTTTAGGGGAGAAACCGCAGCTCTAGCCAATCAGACCCACGATTTTTAGTGGAAGTGCTTGGAGAGTTGGTATTTCCAGGATCTGTGTGAGAAATGCAGTATTATCTGCTGCAGGTCAATTCTGATTATGTGCTACCCCTTAAGGACTTTTCAAAACTTTATTGAAAAGATCATAATGAGAACAATGGTAAAAATAAGCAGATGCTCTGAACAAGTTTTTACCTTGGAGGATCTGATCATGTTTATTATTGTGAAAGAAGGAAAATGAATTTTATCGTTATTCTGGCTGAGCCAGACACCTTAATTTAGTTATGCCAAGTGAGTGCATTTTCATAATTAGTGAAATTGAGCTAGAAAAGCATCTTTATCCTCTTAGCTCCATTACTCGCTTCAGACTTCTTTGAACTGATGTGAATTCTCAAAAGGTTACTTCAATAGTGACACAAATAAAAAGAAATTCTAAGACAAAGGATGAATAAAAATAGGTTTGCTGAGTCACAAATTTCTGTGTATTAAAAAAGAGTCTTATCTTCACTTTTAGTGCTAAATAATAAAGAAATATTGCCACAGAGCAGAGAAAATCATTATAAGTAACAGAAAGAGTAATTAAAAATTTTTGATCTCGGTACCTCAGTCGTCCTATTCACCATCATCTGATGCAGCATGGTTTGGGAAAAAGAGGAACAATATTAAAGACTGGCCGCAAAACGAAGAACTATGTTGCTTTTTGAAATGAGTTATGCCGTTAATTATGGGAAAAGCCATTCAAGCATGCATTAACTTTAAATACAACCTATGTTCCCGTGGGCAATAAACCAGTATCCTATTTAACAGGGAAGCAGTGCTTCTGCTTCCACTCCAGTGTCTTCTGGTTTACAAATAACGAGAGAAAGCTGGTTACCAAAGAAACGGGAGGTATAACTAAAAAGCAGAAAAATGAGTAGTTTGTAATTACCGTGTAGCTAAACACCGCGAAAGGAGATATATTACTGGTGATACTGGCCACACAACTTGTCTGTCCCCAGAAAAACCTTTAACCGTTAAGACGAAGGAAGTCGAAGTTCGTTGCCCATCGGCACTCGGCCGCCTGACTACCCCGTTACCTCTGCGGCGGCAGCACGTTACCTTGGACTGCACATCGGCATTATGGTCGTTCTGCAGTAGGAGCGCCGCCGATTTGGTGTCGTCTTTTCTAGCGGCGATGTGCAGAGCCGGTAATCTCACTTTCCCCTTGGTGTCATTTTCCAGGAGGATGGCCACCGCCTGGTTGTGTCCTTGCTGCAGTGCAACAGCTAGGGGAGTGAAACCGTCCTGGTAGAGGAGAAGACAAGATGTGCTCAGTAAGCTGAAGGGCGTACGGCTTCGGTGATTTGCACAGCGCTGTTCACACACAGAAATCTGATAAGCAGACTACCAGGTGTTTTCTACCTCTGCACCACCGTCTCCAGTGAAATGACATCGGAGGCACAACTTTTTAACCCAGATGTGACTTCAAACATGTTGGAAGCACGCTTTTTCCACTTCAAAGCAGTCTTTTTTTAAGTCAAGTACAAGCAAAGGATCATTCTACACTATCTCTCTTAATTACTTCTCATCTTAAAATGGGCCACAAAGCATATTTTTAGCAATTATTTGGTAAGGATTAGTGAGCGCTGAACAAAGTAGATGTGAAACTTATAGAGGGAACCCGTTTCTGAGTATCTCACGTCTCTGCGGAAAGAAAGCATATCTTCAGATGCATTTGCTGCTGTTTCCCATTCTAAGTTACACATGGACTATGACTGAAGAAAACCAGAACACGTTTAGGAATTTATTCTAACTTGAAGCAGGAAAACATTAGATTGTTTGTACTTTTTGGAAAAACGAAGTCAGAAAAATCTCTCTGCTTTTCATTCATAATTTTAGCTTTGTTTTAAAATTATTTTCAAATTGTCTTGCTCCTACACACACACACGCCCCGGATTGCCAACGCTTTAAAACGTGTCATGGCATCGCGACTTCTTGCTATCTCAGCTGAAGTACTGCCTGCTCCCATCTCTTTTATTCTGACTAGATAAACTGAATCTAGCTCAAGTCTTGCACGCTGCCCAAGCACGCCTGTGCTGTGACCACATGCTAGATCGGAGGGCAGCTGAACCACGAGGAACAGAGCAGCTCTCCAACCGAGTCTGTGACCGGAGGCATGGTGAATAACAACGAAAGAAAAGGGAAGGGAATAAAACAAGGTCTGCTGTAGTCGGTCCTTCCGACTTAGACGAAGAGCTGACTATAGCCAGAAAGCGAGAAAACTGATTCAGATACCTTGTAAAAGGCATAGGAACGAGACGGAATTGATTTGGAATAGGAATACGGAAAGATGATAAAATAATAAAGGACAACTTAGGAAGGAATGAGAGCTAACATATGCTGAAAGAAACATCTGAAGAATTGCCGAAGCAATTTTTCCCCTTAGTAATCTAATAACATTCACTCCCTTTTGCGTAGAACTGTGGGTAAGTGCGTTGTAACAGCGATACTGCTATGGTTTCTTTCTGTAATAGAGATTAAATTCTGTTCAGTGAATTGAAAGAGGGTGAACAGCTGACGAAACAGCTGAACTGTAAAGATAATTCTGAGATTGGGGCTACATTAGGTGTTGAAATGGCTTAATGTATTTGCCTTTCGCCTCTGGGAACATGAGAACAAATCCTGGATTAGAGGCCCTGTGAAACTGAGCTCATCCTTACTCTCATTTTGTATATATACTTATACAAGCGTTAGAGGAAACGAAATATATCCAAAGGCAGTGCAAGTTTCCAAGCTTCAAAGACAAGATCGTCCATTTGATTTGCACCACTTTATCTTCCATCCTTCTCTAAAAGGACACAACTCTGTTGGCATTCCCTCTCCTATTGCTTCTGGAAAGCATGGCTGACCGGAGCTCGGAGAAAGCATTTCACTTCCCCACCTCCCCACGTGAGGACAGCCAATCTTTGATGCCAAACAGAAGGTCCTTCTCCATGTATTTCGGTGGCATCCTCAGTGCAGGCTGCCATCCCACCTTACTTAATGTACCATTTCTTCATTCCCCCCATGAGACTAACTCTGGAATGAAAGCGGACAGTGGCTCAGGCCATCCTTCAGTAACACTCGGATCACTGAAGCCATCACCACAGCAAGACCTTAAGCGGTAAGGGGGTAGACAGCCTTTGCTTTCCAAGCTGCAAAAGTGAGAACTGACCTTTCTGATGGCAGAAGACACACTTGGACTCGGGTTCAGAGAGGGTGGCATTTGATGTTTTTTTTTTTTCTCACCCCCCCCTCGCCTTTTTTAAAATAAATCAGACTATACCGCGAGTTCCAGTGATGCCTGGACGTCTGCATTCAAGCAGAGGCCACGTGGTGGCATTTGATGTTTTTTTTTTTCTCACCCCCCCCCTCGCCTTTTTTAAAATAAATCAGACTATACCGCGAGTTCCAGTGATGCCTGGACGTCTGCATTCAAGCAGAGGCCACGTGAATTATAACCACCTCGGCCTCACAGTTCCTGTAAACTCATGAATGACTTTCCATTGCACCAGATCATCACAGCCAGTAAAAGTTACCGGGAGAAAGGCAGCGAGCGGGTGAGCGCGGGCTGTAGCCGGGCCGGGCTCCTGGGGAAGCCACGGTTCCACTCGGCTCCTTCCCGAGGAGTGTGTTTCTGCCACGTTGCCTGGCAATCACAGGGGATTGCATATTTCAGAAAGCTGGCATGTAACGTGATCGCCATATATGCAGGCCACGAGAGGATTATTTTAGGAGCTGTCATCAAATGGTACAGTATCCATTGAAAGAAGGGACAGTAAAGCAGCTGTTAACACCGGCAGTTCGGTTTAAAGGGAAGGAGAGCGAGCATAAATGCACCATCATTTCAAATTCATCCATTTGTGAAGGCAATCCAGAATGGGTAAGTTTCTGTACAAACTAGGGAAAAGTAATAAACATGAGAAAAAGCTCTGACAGGAGACAAACCTTCCTATTACTACTTCACACGGCTCGTCCATATCCGTAGATGGACGTCCATACCCGCACAAAGATGGTACTCCTAGATGCTTGAGTTTTCATGGGCTTTGTCGGAGACGTAAACCTGTTCAAATGAAAATGTTGTACCTCTCCGCTTAGCCTATGATCGCTCTGCTATTCACTCCGTTCCCCTGACAATACCACCTTGGCCTCCTCTAATTTCTGTAGCCCTAGGGACCTCTCCTCAAAGCCTCGTTCATTTTTCAGAAAGTTCTCCAGGAAGCTGACAGGAGAAACGGGCACAAACTGAAGGAGAAAATCCTGGGCTCCCTAAAGTCAGCAGAAGTTTTGCTGTCAGATGAATCAGGCTGGATCTCATCCCTTGACTTCTCACCACTTCCAGAACAGTTCACCCTTGTCTTCTGTGCGTGCAGAAAAAAAGGGTAAGATTCATAAATACAACTCGGTGAAATGAAAGCGTGAAAGTTCTCAAAATACTCCGTCTGAAAAACCTTCTGACGTTAAGCGATCTGAATATAAAGGCAAAGTTAATTAAGAGTGTGTGTAAAAAAAGAACAATGTACCTCACCTCAGTAGCTGTGCTTTGGTTGGCTCCGTTCTCCAGGAGATATTTCACCACCTCAATGTGGTTCTCTTGAGCTGCCATATATAAAGGAGTAAAGCCATTCTAGGAAGGACACACGAGAAAATATTGTAGTGAGGAGACGGAATATGCCAACAATAATGAACCCCAAATAAATACACGGCTAAAAAATGCATTTGTGCTTTTTAACTGAAATGTTTTAAGTACGCAAGTAGAACAACTTGGTATTTTTTAGCTTAATATGGTTTTAGCTTAATAATTTTTTTAGCTTAATATGGTTTAATGCCATTTAAACCCACAAAACTCTACATGCTTTCACACTCATTTTCTTTTGACACATATTTTAGGGAAGCAATGGACACACTAATTATTAATACAGCTATTCCTTGCTGATAATGCTCAGGGGTTGTAAAGCTGGCAATAAAGTTTTATGAAAGCTGACAGGGAAGCAAGAGTTTCCTGCATTTATTACATTAACTTAACCAAAGACATCAACCCCTAGAGACCATAAAGTCTGTACCTCATGACAAGCTGAGCGGAGATGACGAAGGCTTAACATACGACATAAAATGTTGTAATACATAAAATATTGCGAATCATCAAACATAAAGGAACTCAACCTTGCAAAGTAACAACTGCATTTCTGACCATACAGTAAGTTCATCCATCATTTAATTATAAACATTCATTAAAATGTTCTTAAAAGAATCTGCTCTGGATAATACAGTAATTTAAAAAAATTCTTCTAAGTTAATCAAACTACAGGCAAATTCATTAGACACACAAGTCCTTTCTTCCCATTAAAATACTTTAATGCAAACAATTTTACTTAATTAGCTACAAAATCCTTATGAAAGAAAGGCATGGAGGAGAGCTGTCTGCCTGATTAATAACTTTCTTCTAAGAGGTTTTAAGATTGTTAAAAAGCCCTTAGAAAATTCTGTAATATTCCGTAGATTACCACGTAACACGAGAGGACGTAATCACCTATACTCCTGAAAACATTCTTCTGTCTCGGAATAGCACTTTTGGCTAGAACATAGACCATAAACCAGACTTCAAACGTGCAATTTTTTTTAAAAATCTCGCGTGCTGCCACAATGGATGATAAGCTTGTGCATTTACACAGGCGGTCGGAATGAACGCAAATACTGTGATAACAAAGAACATTGCTTCAGAGAAGCCAATATTATTCTTTCTAGCATACTTGCTGTGGAAACGTTCCAGGCATTTCCTAATTAAGCGAAATCTCATTTTTCAGTCACTAGATGATGCAGTAGATTGTAGAACTGATGTCTTTACAACCCCCCCCTGCATTTACAAATGTGGAAGATTGCTCAGGCAATAAATGTAATTTATGTTGTCTATGTCATATGATATATGTCATATACGTTGTAGCAAGTCTTTTAATACTGCTTTACACAATATTCCGGCACTTCCATCAACAATCACGGGACGTATAATTAAAAAATGGCACCCAGAGAACAGCTAACGGCAGTTCAATGCCCAAACTGTGGGATGTATTTTGAGTGGCTTTGCACAGGGGTCTGTCTTTGGCAGGTATTATCCAGTATCCTCCGTAATGGCTTGAAGGATGGAACAGAGTGCTCTTATTACAGCTACAGACGGCATGAACAAGATGGTCTGCAAACACACCACACAACAGGATCATAATTTGAAAGGTTCCTGTTACCCTGGAGAAAAGAGCTGGAAATGTAATTTAGTAAGGACAAATACAAGTTTCTCCACTACTGCAGGAAAAACAAACTATGCAAACAGGGAACGATGAGTTAGAGAAGAATTCTGCAGAAAAGGACCTGGAGGTCACAGTGGTCTACCAGAGGGCCACTGGTCAATGAGCTCATTCTGCTGCAATAAAAGACAGTCGTTGCACTGGCGTAAAAATATATCTCCCTGGGGAAGCTATTTTAATTTGAGAAGAGACTAGTAATTGGTGGTGTTCTGTCTGGAAAGGGAAAACTGAAGGAAAACAAGACAACAGTCTTTAAAGAGGAGGGTAAAGGTCTGTTCTGCATGTTCACGATGACTAAAACAAATAGAAAAGCGCATAGTTTACTGAGGTTGCTGGAGAGAAAATTCAGGTTAGACATCAAGAAAAGCCTCTTAACGGTAAGGCCAGGCTGCACCACATTTTGACAGGCAGCTTCCTTCTTCCCAAACCACTGCTAAAACCAGGCAGCAAAATGGAAGCACAGACTGAGCAAACGAGCCAGCCTCTTCCACGTCCACCCCGGGGCCGGGAGGCCGGCGAGTCGGGGGGGTGTGCTGGCCTCCTGGCTGCTCCTCGGACAGCTCTTTAACCGGGGGAAGATAGATCTTTGGAGAACAAGTCCTGTGAGGAGCAGCTGAGGGAACTGGGGTTGTTTAGCCTGGAGAAAAGGAGGCTGAGGGGAGACCTCATGGCTCTCTACAACTACCTAAAAGGAGGTTGTAGCGAGGTGGGGGTCGGTCTCTTCTCCCAAGGAACAAGAGATAGGACGAGAGGAAATGGCCTCAAGTTGCGCCAGGGGAGGTTTAGATTGGATGTGAGGAAAAATGTCTTTACTGAAAGAGGGGTTAAACATTGGAACAGGCTGGCCAGGGAAGGGGTTGAGTCCCCATCCCTGGAGGTATTTAAAAGACGGGTAGATGAGGCACTTAGGGACATGGTTTAGTGGGCATGGTGGTGTTGGGTTGATGGTTGGACTCGATGATCTTAGAGGTCTCTTCCAACCTTAATGATTCTATGATTCTATGATTCATCGCAGCGTAAAATGAAGGAACGCTGTTCGGCGTGTAATTAGGAAGGTGCGGAAGGGCAGGGGATTGCCAGGCATAGGGACCGAGCCGGCAGTGGGAATTATCAACAGACTGGTTTCTTGTCGGTTGCCCTTGTGCAGAACAGCACGGAGAAAACGGCAGGTAACCGAGCTGGCTCACCGTTTCGGTTTTCCTTCCCACTCCGAAAAAAAACAAAATGGCAACACATTAGGTATAACTAATAGTAATTTTCACCCGCCTCATCAGTATTTTAACATTAAAGTCTAATGTAGCAGTTTTTAAAATGGTAATACGCGCCATTCGTAAAATCCTTCTAGCACTTAATGTTACATGGATGAACACGAGGATGACACCGACTAATACAAATTTGGGGAATACGAGAATTTTCAAGCCAGAGTAAATCAATTTGCTTAAAAGCTTTGAAGAATCTTTTTTTTTTTTTAATCAGCTCAAGTCCCTAGTTCTGGAACAGGACCAGGACAACAAATCCTGGATTAGGAGACCATAAACAATACATATATGACTTCATGACCATTTAGTACCAGGAAGTACTAAATGCTGTTCCACACAGAGATCCAGAAGAGTGCCCATTATATCAAGGATATCCTCCTCACGTCCTACAATCATACCCGAAACTACAGCAATTGGGGGTAAGGAAATTCTTGCACATAAAGTCATAGCCTTTTTCTTTTTTTCCTTCAAGCTTTATTTGTAGTTTAAAACCACTGTATGTATTTCCTTAAAATCTGGCTTATTTTGGAAATTGCAACAGCATGCCAAGGTCTATATGCAAAAACTGCCTATACCAGACACACTTGAAAAAGCTTCCCCTGAATTTCTCCCCCTGGCAAGGTCAAGCCCGATTTTTTCCGCTGGCAGGGTGAAGTCTGCTCTCACAGTGAAGCACTGGCTTCAGAGCTTCTAACTGCAGTGTTCCTGACCTCAACGATCCTGGCTCTTGGTCAGAAAACTCCTATTTTAGGATTCCCAATACCGCCGCTCTCCTTGGCAGAGCTCTGCCCAGTGGGATATACCTGTTAGCCCTGCAGGAGCTCTCCCTTCTCGTTTGTCCACCGGACCCCAGGACTTCCACGCCTCTTCCCGTCCTGCGTAGTTTCTAGGACGTGTCTGTCTGTCTGTATCCTACACAGCAAGTTTCTGTCTCTCTCGGCCAGTCCTGCAGTTAAATGGCAACGCCCAGAACAGCAGCGTATCCTTCCCTTCATTTCCTTTACTTTCGTTAACCTAAAATCCCCTTCCCCGTTCCTCACCTTTTAGTTTCAAAGAGCTATATGGCAATAACGTGGTTTCCCTGTTCTGCTTCTAGAGATATTTCAACGCTCAAGACCCCAGATCTCTGCAAACTGAAGAAAACCTGTTTTCCCTAGGCTTTTGTTTCACTGCCCCAAAGCGTCTTCTACCGAATCCACGACATTCTGGTTAATGACTCTCCATGGACGTATTGCAAAGGAGACTGACCTCTCCCCTCCCTGTTTTAGCACGTGGAATGGGACACAGAGGGTTTATTGAGCCGGGGTGGGGAATCTTTATTTCAATAAATTTTCCTTCAGCTTATGATGCCATACTGTATAAACACAGTCCAGAATTAAAGTAAAAATACTGACTGTGGCACAGAAATGTGACCTGGAAAAGGAGAACTACACTTTATTTTGCTTTTTCTGAAATCCCGGCTGCGTAATTACGTTATGTCTGTATGTTTAGGTTTCGTGCATCATCTGAAAAATAGAAATTAATTTTGTAATGATATATAACATTCATTTTCAAGCAATGATTTCATCAGAGCATTTGTAGTGAGGACAGAGTACTCAGATTTCATTATCCTTACAAGTGTGTACTGCAAGATGTTTACTGCTATAATATAAAGTTATAATGAGAAATTAACGCTAAACAAATAGAGTATATTTCATACTCCATTCTTTCTACTGCATTCACTGATTTACTTGCTAATTTGAGAAAATGAGTCGCTCTCAATGATTCTTCAAGCTATTAATGCAAATTGGCAAGCCTATATATGACTCACAATTTGTATCATTAAATTTTGCCCGAGCCCTAATGAAGAACACAGTTTGAGGAAGCAGAGGGATTATTAGAGCATTTAGAAAATCATAGTTATATAGCTCGCTTGAGCTTTATTTTATGGCAGGCTTTCAAGGAACCATAGTCTCTGCATGCAGTACCAAATGCTCAGAAGCACACATCTTCCGAACTCGGATTAGCAGCCAGTGCCTTTGAACGACTAGCCTACCCATGCTTGTCCATGAAGATGTGGCCTTTCGTGTCTA